AATAGAGATAGCTCTTACTTTTTCCTTGGAAATGCACGCTTCAAACAGAACGGTCAGTGAAGACGAAGAAGAGAATGATGTGTGCTCCCGGCGCCTATTTATACTATAGTCGCACCGGTAGTGACGTCATGGGCTGTCGCCGGCCAACGTGTTGTTGGTGTTCTTTCAATGTATGCTTCAGACACGGGTCACGACGAGGCGTTCCCCATAGCGACCCCTAGAGGACACAGTTCGAAGTTCCCTTGAAAGGGGACTCTGGTTCTACAGGTTTAGCTTGTTTTTTATTTTATTTTTTTGTAATGTTTCCTCCAAACCCCCCATCACCCCCATTGGTCAAGTTCGCAGCTCAAAAGTTTGCAAGCCTGTTTTAATTGTAATGTCTTTTCTGTGCATTTAGATGGACTGTGATTTTTGTTTGTTTGTTTGTTTGTTTGTTTGTAAAGGACTGATTTTATTCTACAGAGATTTTTAATAAATTTGAGATTGTGTAGACGTTTAGCTTATTTATTTTGTTATTTTTATTTGAATTGTATTATTTGGGATCCAGTCATGCAAACTACTGTTTTGAATTAAAAATATGTTGGAATTTTTGGGCCATTGCACCGAATGGGTGCCATTTTTTGTTGCAACTCTTCCAAATAAAAGTTAATTAATTTTTCTTTTTTTCCAAACTGAATCTCATAAGATATATATTTTATTATTCAGAACATGTATTTTTATCAGTCCTGTTACCAAAACTCATGTGTCTTTTTTTTTTTGTCTTTTTTTTTTTTTTAAGAAAAATTATTTAGTAACAGAAATAAGCATAGGGTAACAGGAATGTTTGTTTGTATACAGGTTTGACTACATGTGTGAGGTGTTTAATGTCCTCACTAATAGTGAAACCTGTTAAACACTGTCTAGTGAGCCAGACCTCAATGGTTAAAAAGGATTATGAATCTGCAAAATCATGTTTTTATTTAAATCTAGTGTTTTGCAAATGTTCTGTGAGGGTTATGTGAATGACGGCTAAGTTCACTGTAAAAATTTAAGGTTAGAGTGTGGGTTAGTATTAGGGTTAGGGCATTTAGGTGTGTGTGTGTGTGTGTGTGCGTGTGTGTGTGTGCATATGTGTGTGCGTGTAACAAAGAGAGAGATTTCTGTGTTGAAGGAATGTTCTTTGTGTTTACAGTTATGTGCAGTGAAGGAGGTGGACAGAGAATTAAAGGGGTCATATGATGCTGCTAAAAAGAACATTATTTTGTGTATTTGGTGTAATGAAATGTGTTTATGCGGTTTAAAGTTAAAAAAACACATTATTTTCCACATACTGTACATTATTGTTTCTCCTCTATGCCACAAATGGTAAGAACAAACATCCCGTTGTTCATACACTGAGTTCTCGTGAGGTCTATACATCACTATAACGCTATGGTTATGAGGGCAGGGTCAGCGCTAAGTGGGAGCTAGGCTGGACATTGGCCACCCAGTGTTACTGAACAAAAACAGGGCAATGAGTATAATCCCTTTTTTCATTTTGGCCAGACATTGTGGCTAACACAAGACAGCTGCATTTTTGGGAACACTATCTGTATTCATAGCAGCCTCTGGCTTACATTATTCACATTTGTATTTTATGAATATATATTCTTATTTTGTGTATGTGAATTGGTTTTTGTGAATATATATATTTTTTTCGTGCAGGTGAATTATTTCTCATGCATGTGAATTGGGTTACGCATGTGTGCATCGCGTCTTTTGTGTGAATTATTATTATTTATCATTCTGGCTCCATAGGAGAGACACAGAGAGGGGAGTGGATATATCTCGCTCCTTCCCGTGCAGCCTTCCATGGGTGAGTGTTTCTGGCTTCTTGTAGTATGGCTTCTCTACATGTTCTTCAGCATAATAAAAACCAGAATCTCATGCATCTTCAAATACATGGGCCCCAGTCACTGCCATTCAGATGAACAACCTTGCCTAACACACGTCCACTGCAATAAATTACACATCATAATAGTTTTGGCAATGTACTGTTACATTAACCTCTGTGACCTGATAAGTAGTATTCGGCCAAATACATGTAATGTTTTCATCCGTATTTTCCTTAGCCATACCTGGAAGCAGGGGCTTTGCTAGTGAAAGGTAGGATTGAGTACAGGGGGCTCCTGCAATTTCTACCAAGGGGGAACTTCAAAATTTATGTGAATAGTATTACATTAACTAAGGATCAGCTACATCCACATTAATCCAAAAAAATGCATTTTGTCCGGAAACTCTCTCTGTCTACGTTAGTGTATTTCAGAAGTTGCTTTTCTACACTGAAATGTCTAAAAAATGCTTACAGTAAATCACTTTACTGTGCATGCATAAAATATAATAAAATCTTACTAAGATGATAGACCAGACATAAAGTTCTCATTATTGAAATTATTATTTTATTAGCAAAATATCCCACTCTAAGTAATAACACTAAGAAAAATCTGTAAAAAAAAAAAACTGAAGTATCCAGGATCAATCCTTTACAGAAGAAGATATCAGAACGCCACATCTCTGTGATCAACATGATTGACTTACATGAGGCTGAACTTTACCTGGACTGTGTGGATCATCACATTGAACAGCTAGTAAATGAAAATGAAATCCATGTCTTCATCTTTGTCGTGCGACTGGGCCAGTTAACCAATGATGATAAGATGAGTCTGAAATGGCTTCAGAGAGTGTTTGGTGACAAAGTTCTTCAATTTGTGATGATTCTCTTCACCTATGAGAGAGAAAAAGAGTGTAACACTATAAAAGATGATCTGAAGAGAAACCCTGATCTGGAGAAGCTGCTGGAGAAATGTGGAGGAAGATATCAGACCTGCAACAAGATGATGAACAACCAATCAGAGATGAGAGACCTGATGAAGAAGATTGAGCATCTGTTTAATGAGAATCAACAGCAGCGTTACACTGGAGAGATGTTTAACACAGCATCAATAAGGAAAAAAGAGCTGGAAAGCAGTGATCATCAGTGTGGTAAGAATTCAGTTTTTTCTCTGATGTCTATTTCAAATGTTGTTACATGTTTCGTATTATATTACAGTTGTTGTTTGTTTTAGGCCACACATCAAAAATGGAATCAAATGCACACCTGAACTTCATTTTACTGGGGAAAAAACGAGCTGGGAAGACTGCGTCAAGAAACACAATACTGGGACAAGAAGTTTTCATGTCAAAGAAAAGCTCCAAATCTGTCACTCGAGATGCAGCTGTGAAATCTGGGACTGTTAATGGGTTTCCAGTCACTGTTTATGACACACCTGGATTCTATGACCCAAAGATGAGTACAGAAAAGATTCAGAAGATACTGGATAAGGTTCTTCTGAAATGTGAATCTGGTCCCTGTGCATTTTTGCTGGTTATCAAAGCTGATAGTTTCACTGAAGAAGAGATAAAAACTGTGGAGAAGATTGAGAAGCTGCTGGGAGAAAAACACTTGGAAAAAACCTGGATTCTCTTCACCAGAGGAGACGAACTACAAGAGGAAAACAAGACCATAAATGAATTCATCAATGAGACATCAAAGCACTGAAGAAACTCATTCAGAAATATGATCAGCGATACCATGTGTTCAACAACAAGATAAAAGGACATCGTGACCAAGCTCGATTACTGCTGGTAAAAATTCTCCAGAGATCTTTTGGAGTAAAGGGTGAGTCTTTAAAAAATAATCAAATAAAATGTTTTAAAGGGGTCATATGATGCGATTTAAATTTTTCCTTTCTCTTTGGAGTGTTACAAGCTCTTGGTGCATAAAGAAGATCTGTAAAGTTGCAAAGACTAAAGTCTCAAATCCATGGCCTCCGCTCACTCTAGCCCTCCGACCGTTCCTCACTCTAGCCAGCCGGCCTCCGCTAACTCAGCCCGCCGGCCGTTCCTCACTCTAGCCCGCCGTGTGTGAC